TTATCCCCAGAGCTTTTCCTTGTTAGATCCTGGAGCAAGAGGTGAGAGCTGGTCAAGCATTCCCAAGCCAAGGAATTCCCCGCAGGAAAGAGCATTTTGGTGGGGAAAAGCCATCACAGGAAACATCTCCATGGGAAGGGGCGGCTGGTGGGATCATCTGGATGCTCCAGGACCACCCATGGATTTGGGATGCAAGGTCCAGGCAAGACCTGGAGGTGTTTGGAGGAGCCTCCAGGCTTCCAGACCTGGAAAAGTCCTGGAGTGGCCCACGGGAATCTCCTGAAGTTTAACAAGGGCGGGGCAAACTCGGGATGGATCCAGGCTGGGAGAAGGACCTGGAATGAGACAATCCCAGGATGGATCCAGGCTGGGGAGAAGGACCTGGAATGAGACAATCCCAGGATGGATCCAGGCTGGGATGAGCACACAGAGGAGCCCTGGGAGAAGGATCTGGAGCGGGGCATGGAAACCTCCCAGGTCTAGGGCTGATCCCAGAGCAGGAAAATGGGGAATTCTGCCCCCTGGAGCAAGTCCAGAGGAGGCTCCAGGATGATCCAAGGAAAGGCTGGGAGAGTTGGGAATGTTCAGCCTGGAGAGAAGAGAAGCTTTGGGTTGACCCAATTTTGGCCTTCCAGGACCTGAAGGAGCCGACAGAAAAAATGGAAAAGATCCCTTCAGAAGGGCCTGGAGTGACAGGACACAGGGAATGGCTCCACAATTCCAGAGGGAAAACTGAAATTAGTTTTTGGGAAGGAATTCCTGGCTGTGAGGGAGGTGAGGCCCTGGCACAGTTTTCCCAGAGCAGCTGTGGCTGCCCCTGGATTCCTGGGAATGTCCAAGGCCAGGCTGGATGGGGCTTGGAGCCACCTGGGACAGCGGGATCTGTCCCTGGCCATGGAATTCCCGCCCAAAGCATCCCAGGATTCCAAGGCTGAGCCCATGGATAGAGCTGGGAATATCTGACAGCCTGCACAGGGCAGGGGCTGCTCAGCTCCAGGCTCCCAGCACCTGGATCAGAATTCCTCATCCCAGGCCAAAGGGCACCAACATTCCCAAGCCAAACTCTGCAACATTCCCAGGATTTGGTTTTGGGGGATGCCAATAATCCCAAGGGAATTTGGGCTTGGGGGACTTTGGAACCACTCTGGGAGCAGCCACAGGAGCTTTTCCAGGGAGAAGTAAAGCTGGGAATGTCTCCCCTTCCCAAAGATTATCCTGGGAAGGCACAAGGAGAGGGAAGATCCTCGCCGGAGCCACGGCTTTTTCCCGAGCTCTGGATTGGAAGTGGCGGCTCCGAAACGCAGCCGGTGGGAGGAGGGAAATTGGGCTAATTGGGAAAGGGCAATTAGCACAGCGAGGGGGATTTTCCAAAGGGGCTGCACGGCCTGGATTTACCTGGAGAGGCTCCGTGGGAACGCGGGATTCGTGGAAATGGGAGGGGAAACTTCCCAGAAAGAGCTGAAGGCAGGATTTGATGGGAAAAGCGTGAACAGGAAAGGATGGTGGGAATGTGGGGCGGATTTTTGGCACCTGCAGGTGAATTTAAAGCTGGATTTCACCCCTGCTCCTCCTTTTCCCCCATTCCCCCAGGACACAATTCCTACAATATTCCTCCTTCCATTAAAAAGAAACACGAGCAGGTGCCTCCCACCACCCTGGAGAAAGCCCCACGCTGGATTTTCCCTCCAAAAACGAGGGAAAATCGTCTTTTCCAGGCTGGAAAAGGATCCACCCGAGGGGCTCCCTGTCAGCTGGGAAAACCCCTGCCAGAAAAACCGCCGGGGGGAATGCAGAGGGGAGAGAATTCCAGGTAAATCCCCAACTGCAAAGGGCTGTTCCCAAGCTGGGTTTTTCAGGAATATCCCCAAGGACAGCTCCCTGCAAAGCCCAGGAGCTTCAAACACTTGAATTTTCCTTTTTTTTTTTTTTTTTCTCTTTTTTTTTCCAACCCACTGGGGCTGAGAAGCAGAAGCCGAAGCAAATCCCACCGGGATAAAGCCGCTGGAAATCTCCAGGAACTCGACACTTTGATCCCTCCCAGGGCGCTGAGCCCTTTATGGGGCCGTATTTCAGACAGGGCTGAGCGAGCCAGCCCTGATCCCAGAACCCACGGATTTCAGGGGAAAAGGGAGCTTTTCCAGCTTTTCCAGTCCCTTTTCCAGGCACTCCTCTCCTTTTCCATGGTCCAGCGCTGCCTCCTCCGCGTGGCCTCGTTTTTCCCTCCTGACGGCTCCTTAACCCACTTAGCCCCGGCCCCGGCGGCTTTTTTTGGCAAAAGGAAGAGGTTGAGCCGGGGACAAAGGGGGGGAAAAAAAGCTGGAATAGCAGGGGTGATGCTCCCCGAGGGCTGGAAAACACCTCGGGAATGATCCCGGCTGTGCTCGGGGTCACAAAAGGGCTTTTCCTGAGCGGGGCAGGGATGTAGAGCAGGGCTGGAAATCCCCCCCTCAAAAAAGCTCCCCAGGGATGATCCGTGGGGTGGGAAACGATTCCAGCCGATTCCTGGGGGATGCTCCGGGATGCGGATGAGGGGACAATGAAAGCAGGGAAAATTCCCCCCTCTCCCCAAAAATAAAAGGGGTTTTGGGGCCACAGGGCAGATGTGGGGACGGAGAGCGGGGCCGGGCCCACCTGGGTCTCCCCGGGGTCTGCATCCCTGGGGTCGCTCTCCAGCCGGGATGGGGAGGGCACGGCGGCGGCTCCAGCCAAGGATGCCGTCAGCCAGGAAAAAGCCATCTGCCCTCGGAAATTCGGGAATGGCGAGCGCTCGGCCCCCTCAAATTCGGGAACAACGCTCTGCACCCCCCCAAATTCGGGAACAACGCTCTGCACCCCCCAAATAATTCGGGAGCAGCTCAGCCCCCGCTGCCCCGAGCAAAGGGAGGCGGCCCCAGCCCGGGATTTGGCCGGGATTTGTGGCTGCCTCATGGGAAAACAGAGCTCGGGATGGGATTTTTGGGACAGCCGAGGGGAGGATCACAGAATTGCGGGGTGGTTTGGGTTGGGAACCCCAAAATGAGCACAGGGACGGCTTCCATAGGGAAGGAGATGCCGAACACGGCGGATCCTCGGGATGCAGCCAAGTTCCAGTGGGGTTTAGGAGCCCAAATCCAGCTCGTGGATGCCCAAACCCAAACAATTCCCGACGCCGGATCCATCACTTCCTAACCCCCAACCCCTCCGGGCTCCCCGAGCTCCTCCAACCCCTTCACAAACCAACTTTGATCCCATTTTTTCCCCCCTCACAAACAGAGATTCCCCCGCAGCCGCTCTCAGGAAATCAACAGCACGAGAGCAACCGCCCGATCTGCGGCGAGGAAAAAAAGCAGGAGAGAGGCAGGAAAAATGATCCCTGCGCCAGTGACAGACAGCTGGAGCTCCGGGAAAGCCGGGGGGATGCGTTGTTCCTTGGAAATTGTCTATCCATGACCTTAAAACGGCGGCGGAGGAGAGCGGGGAGGGGAGGGGAGGGTTTGGCACAAGTTCCCCCCTTTTCCCGAGCAGGTTTTATTAATCCCGGCGCTGGGATGCTCGGGATGCTCGGGATGCTGAGGAAGGGGGCTCGGAGGAGCAGCCGCAGCCCGGCAGGACCCGAACCCCGCGGCCAAGGGAAGGAAATGAGGGGTTCAGGGAATTCTCTTCCCGATCCCAAAGCCCGGCTGGGCTGGGGCTGCGCGGTGCCCGAGGGATGGAGCGGGAGCAGGAGGGGAAGAATCGGCTCCTTTGTGTGGAGCTGGCCCCGCAGAGCCGCGGCTCCCCCGCCCCGCGCCCTGCAGCGCCCGCCGGCGCTTCCCGGAGAGCACAAAGTCCATTAAAATCCAAAAAAAAAAAAACCCAAAAAAAAGAGCCAAAAATCAGAGAGATGCGGAGCAGGCTGCGCTCGCCCCTCCATCTCCCGGCGCCTGGAAGAGCTCCCGCTTCCCGGGGCTCGGGAAGGAGCGGCCACCTGAGAGCCCCCCGAGCGGGAATTGGGGGAAAAAAAGAGGGAATTCGCCTCAAATGGAGACGGAATGAAATGCCACGGGTGGGGTGCGAGGAGGGCAAAGTTTCCTTCCCCGGGCGGTTTCCCCTCCCCGGAGCCCCGGGTTTGGGGCTGGCGTGGGGAGTCCCGGGGTTTTTGGGAGCTCGGGAGCTGCAATCCCCCAGGACAGCGGGAATTTGGGGGATGCTGCTCCTTGCTGGGGATTTGGGCATCCCAAAGGGGCAGGAGGGGCTGCGACCCCCCCAAAATCTGAGCTGGTGGGGGTCCCCAAGCACAGCCCCCCCTCGGTGGCTGGAGCGGGGCTGGGATGCGCAGGCGGAGCGGGGAAAGGGGACTCGGGGTGGCCCCATGGATGAGAGCCCCGGGCCCTCGCACCCCAAAAACGGCGCCCCGTGAACGGCTCCACCCCAGTGCCCGGGTAGGGGGTGCCCCATTAAAACCCTCCTCTGTAGGGTGTGCCCCATTAACGGCTCCCACAGCAGTACCGGGTTATGGGGTGCCCCATTAGCGGCTCCCACACCAGTACCGCGATATTGGGTGCCCCCATTAATGCCTCCCACACCAATACCGCGTTTTGGGGTGCCCCATTAACAGATCCCACAGCAGTACCGCGATATGGGGTGCCCCATTAACAGATCTCACACCATTACCGGGTTATGGGGTGCCCCATTAACAGATCTCACACCAGTTCCCGGTTATTGGGTGCCCCATTAGCGGCTCCCACACCAATACCGGGTTATGGGGTGCCCCACTAACGCCTCCCGACCCCATCCCCCAGTACCAATCCCCAACTCCCCACTCCAACCCCGTTCTTCTCTCCGTGGGTGCCCCCCCACCCCCCAATCACCCCAAACCCCAGGGCGGGGGCGCCGAGCCCCGAGCTCGCCCCGTGACCGGCGGGGTGCGGGGGTCACCCCATCCTTCCCGTATCCCCAGGGGTGTCCCTGGGGGTCACCCCCTCCGTCCCGCGGCCCCGGGGGTGTCCCTGTCCCCTCGGGGAGGGGGGGGTGACACTCACCCAGCGCCAGGTGCCGCAGGTGCCACAGCAGCAGCCACAGGGGCAGGGGGCTCATGGCGCGCATGGTGCCCGCGGGGGCGGCTCAGCGGGGCCCCCGCGCCGGGCGCCGGGCGGGCATCGCGCCGGGCACCGCCAGGGGCTCGGCCCGGTCCGGTCCCGTTCGGGAGGGGGCTCGGCCCAGGTTCGGTCCGGTCCCGTTCGGTTCGGGAGGGGGCTCGGCCCGGTCCGGTCCGGTCCAGTTGGGGAGGGGGCTCGGCTCGGCGCTGCCCCCCCGGTGCAGCAGCTCCGCCGCCGCTGCCGCTGCCGCCCTTAAGCCGATTTGGAGCAGCCGGAGCCGAGCGGGGCTGGAGCGGCCGCCCCCGGCCCCCCCCGGGCTGAGCCCGCCCCCGGCCCGGCCCCCGGGAGGGGCTGAGGGGGGCGGGGAGGAGAGCGGGGGGCGGGGAGGGACCGGGAGGGACCGGGAGGGGATTGGGGGGGATGGAGCGGGGGGGGGAGTCACGGAGGGATGCGGGGGGATGGATCCGGGGGGGGGGATACAGGGGGGAGATACCGGGGGGGGCGTTCCGGGATGCGGGGGGGGATTCACGGAGGGATCGGGGGATGGATCCGGGGGGGGGGAAATCGGGGGGGGATGGATTGAGGGGGGAATTCGGGGGCGGGGTGGATTGGGGGGGGATGCAGGGGAAGATTCACGGAGGGATGGCGGGGATGGATTTGGGGGGGGGCGGGGGGATGCAGGGATGGATTTGGGGGCCGGGGGATGCAGGGATGGATTTGGGGGCCCGGGGGATGCAGGGATGGATTTGGGGGCCGGGGGATGCAGGGATGGATTTGGGGGGGTCACGGGGGTGCCGGGGGGGGGGGAGGGGCACAGGACGGGATGGGGGAGGGGCGGTGACAGGAGGGGGGACACGGATGGGGGAGGGGTTGGATGCAGGCAGGGATGCGGGATGGGATCTGGGATGCAGGGCTGGGATGTGGGATGCGGGATGGGGTTGGGATGCGGGGTCGGGATGCAGGCAGGGATGTGGAGTCCAGGATGAGATTGGGATGCAGGCAGGGATATGGGATACGAGCAGGAATTTGGGGTGCAGGATGGGATTGGGACGCGGGGTCGGGATGCAGGGTTGGGATATTGTCAGGGATATGGGATACAGGACAGGGAGCAGGATCCAGACAGGGATGTGGGATACAGGATAGGTTGGGATGCAGGATGGGGTTGGGATGCAGGATGGGGTTGGGATTCAGGATAAGGAGCAGGATGCAGGAGGGGCTGGGATACAGGATCCTGGAGCAGGGACCCACAGGGATCCACAGGGATCCACTGGGATCCACAGGGACCCACAGGGATCCACAGGGACCCGCAGGGACCCACAGGGATCCACAGGGATCCACTGGGATCCACTGGGAGCAGCACTTCCCCCCCTGCCCCCTCTTCCCTCAGCAATTCCTGCCTCCCTGAACCCCCGGATCCAGCCTGGAGTGATCCCAGACTCCCCAAAATCCCACCCTGGCTGGGATCCCAACCCTCCAGGGCCCTGCCCCACAGCTTTTCCTGGTTTCCCTTCACTCTCAGACTTCAGGAAGATGCCAGGATTCCTTGGGAAGGGGGATTGGGATGCCCGGGGCTTCCTGAGAGCAGAAGAGCTGGAGACCCACATCCCTTTTCTTACAAAAATCCATATTTTTATCCCTTATTCCCACTTCCAGGTGCTCTCCCTGTCTTCCCAAATCCTTTCCTCCCAGCCCTCCACCCCCACCTATTCCCGAAATCCCAGGGGAACGTTCCCTGATTTCCAGCTGGACAAAGCCAATTCCATGGAAAAACCCCCCAAACCTGCTCAGAATCCTCTTTAGGGGCTAAAATTTGGGGAAAAACACCAGGACAAAAGTGTTCCCTGGGATGGGGATGGGAACTACCCATAATCCTGGCCCAGCAACACCGAGGGAAAAAATAATGGATTGGGTCAGGCCATGGCAATGGATTTGGGCTTTTTCGGCTCCTGGTGGTTCCTGTCAGGGAGGTTTTTTGGGAATTGAGTCCCACCAGTTTGGATCAGATACGTGTTACTGGTTGGGCTGGAATTTCAGCTGTTCCAAATCCCCCTGAAAGGCAATTCCATGGAAAACGCCTCCGTTTTCCCACCCAGGATTGTCTTTTGGGGCTCTGATTGGGAAAAAACACCAGGACAAAATTTTGGGGTCACCCATCCTTCAATGCCCGGAAATCCGGGATAAAACCAAATCCAATAAAACCAAATCCAATCACAGATTCTCACGTTCAGATCCTTCATTTTCCCCCTCATGAGGAGTTTTCCATGAGAAACGGAACCACCAGGAGTCAAAAATTCCCAAATCCATCGCCATGGGATGACCCAATCCAGGACTTTTTCCCCCAAAGTCTGGCTCTTCCTGTCCGTTTTTCCATGGAAAATGGCAAAATTCCCAACATTCTGCTCTCCCAGCATTCCTGCTTTCCTCAGCCAGGGCTGTTTCCATGGTTGGAACATTCCTCTGGATGGGAGCCACCCTGGATGAGGCGAGTGGAGATTTTCGGGAAGCTGGGAATTGCTTCCCAAAGATCCAACGGCTCCAATACCTCCTTGGACAACAAAAATAAACCCGGATTTGAAAAATTCCCACAATTCCAGAGCTTCCCAATGGGAATTTCAGCCCCTTTCAGCACAGCCTCGCCCCAGAGCCAAACCCATGATCCGGTGGGAGAAGGATAAAGGGGAATAACCCGGAATGTTGGGAGCAGGATTCGTTTTCCGAAGGCAAAGCTTCCTTGGCAGCCTCCAGATTCCAGAGGGAATTCCCAGGAGTGGAATTCCAGGCCATCAGGAGGCTCCCAGGGCATCAGAGCCGACAGGAATCCTGGAAATCGTGGGATGTGAGCCCTGCCATGTCCGGATCGCTCCCATTTCTCCCAGCTTTTAATTCCCCGCGAATCCAGCGGCTGGCGGGAGCTCCCTTGGAATGCCCTGGGGGATTCCCAGCCTTGGGAAGGGAGGGAACGACTGGGGAATGCGGCTCCTGCCTCATCCAAATGATTATTCCCAGTTTTTTCCTGTAAATACGGATTTTCCCGCGTTCCCTTCCAAAGCTGGATCCCTTCACTCCCCAGAAACACCAATCCTTGTTTTCCAACGGAGCTGGCACCCTCCTGTCCTTCCCAGATTCCCAAGGGATCAATCCAGCCTGGAAAACCAGGCCTGAGCCTCATTCCATGCATCCCTTGGGAACAACCGGAATCCAGGGCAGCACATTCCAGGTGAGGCTCCTCCGTCTGCCCTCGGAGATGGGAATTTGGGACAAAAAAAGCTCCCAAGGGGAAAATTTTCCAGTTTCTCTTTTTTTCCCGACCTTTCCAGAACAAATCCAGGGGCTAAGTCTCAAATTAGAGAAGAGAATCCCAAATTTAGCAAGAATGTCCCACATTTTGGGGAGAAAGTCCCAAACTCTGGGGAGAAACTCCCAAACTGGAAGAGAAAACCCCAAATTTAGGGAGAAAGTCCCAAATTTTGGGAAGAAAGTTCCAAATTTAGGGAAAAAAAATTCCCAGATTGAAAGACAAAGTTCCAAATTTCGGGGACAAAGTCCCAGATTTGGAATAACCAGGAATTTATTCCGGAGCGTCATCCTGGGGAGCAAATCCCAGGGAGGAGGTTTTGATGGAACATCACCTCGGAAAAATTCCAGGAATTTGGGAGCAGGAAATCCCTCCTGGAATGGGGTTTGGAAAGGAGGAGCAAATGAAAAAATGGGAGGATTGGGATGAAAAATTCCCTGGCGAAAAAATCTGGGAAGGGCAGCAGGAAAATCCAAGAGTGGGAGCGAGGAAAGGCCGGGAATATCCAGCGCTCCCAGGGCTGAGCCGGTCACCAGCTCAACCACCGGAAAAAATCCATCTTCCCGTTTTCCCATCTTCCATCTTCCCACGTTCCCATATTTACGTCTTCCCATCACTGTGGGAAGATGGAAATGTGGGAACACGGGAAGATGGAAGATGGGAAAATGGGAAGAATCTCCAGGAGAATCCCAGCGCCTCCTTCTCCATGAACTCCATGGAAAGCAGCGTTTGGATCCCAGCACGGAGCTGGAAATCCCAGCAGGAATTTACCATTCTGGCAGCTCCCATGGGAGCAGGGATGGTTGGGCTGCTCCAGGCTGAGGAGGAAGCAGGAATAAGGCAGGAAAACCAGGATCCTGAATCCCATTGGTTTTCCCTTCCATCTCTTCCCAATCCTCCCATCCCTGCTCCACCACCCGGCACCAGGAGCGGGATGAGCCAGGGATTGTGGATCCTGGGAAAGGAATTTAATAAATATGGAAATGGCTGCTCCTCGGGTGGGAGAGGGATGGGAATGAGGGATTGGATCCATCCAAACACCTGGAAAAGAGGTGGAGGAAGCAGAGCTGGGAAAAACAGGAAAAAAGGAATCTGAGGGCGACAGGGAAGATTTTCTTGGAAAATGAATCCAAACCATTGCACAGAGGAAGGGAAATAATCCTGAAAAGAGATCCAAAATCTAGAAAATATACCCCAAATCTGGAAAATAGATCCCTAATCCACAAAATACATCCAAAATCCAGAAAATATGTGCCAAATCCACAAAATAGATCCCAAATCAACAAAATATATCTCAAATCTGGAAAACAGACCTGAAATCCTCTAAATAGATCCCAAATCCACAAAATAAATCCCCAATCCACAAAATGCATCCTAAATCCAGAAAATAGATCCCAAATCCGGAAAATAGACTCCAAATCCAGTAAATAAATCCCAAATCCATAAAATATACCCCAAATCCACAACATACATCCTAAATCCACAAAATAGATCCAAAATCCAGGAAGTCTATCCCAAGTCTGAAAAATACATCCCAAATCCAGAAAATACATCCCAAATCCACAAAATACATCCCAAATCCACAAAATGCGGTCGCATCCCAGCCTTTTACCAAGTTTCCCCCAGGGAATTTTGCAGCGTTTCCCACTCCTCCTCCAGGACCTCCTGATTCTCCACCTTTCCCCCGTCCCACATTTCCCAAGTTCTGAATTCCCGAGCTCCAGGCTCTGCTCCTGGATCAATCAATCCAATCTCGGCCATGGCCCTTTGGAGAGGAGTTCCTGCAGGACAAGGAGCTTTGGGAACATTTTCCCCATGGAATAAATCCCAATTTTTCCCTCCAGAGCAGCCAGGAAAATTCCTTGGGAATTTACCTGCAGCCAACAGTTTCCCAGATTTTTCCTGCAGCCAACATTCCAAAGAATTCCTGGAACGTGCCACCACCACCACCGCATGGCGTTGGCAAATTCCATGAGCGGCTCCCAGGTCCAGGCACTCCACATCCCATGGGATCATCTTTTCCAAAAGATGGGAAGGAGCTGAGGAGATCCTGGATTTCAATCCTGGGAAATACTTGGAAGCTCCAAAAGGATGGAAAAGAGGGGAGGAAGAGGAGGAATTTCCATTTTTGGGTGGAAAACAGCCCGGAATTTCCAACTTCGGAGCTCCACCGGAGGACAGGGCCTGCCTTGGATGGGTTTCAGGAGGAATTTCTCCATCCTGGGAATGTTCGGCTGTTGGGAAGCTCTGGAGTCGTTATCTCCACACAATTTAATTAAAGTCTGGCGTTAATGACACAATGGCCACTAATTAATTTAATCCATTTAATTAATTTAATTATTTTTTAATTAATTTAATTAATTCTCGCTTCTGCACAGTGGATTTGGGGGGGGGGATTTTTTTGGTTGGGAAGCAAAATTGAATCCCAGCCCTGGGAGGGCGCGGGGATCATCGGGAAGCAAAGGGATTTGGGAATGCGTGGGGAGCATCCAGGACTGGGAACTGGGAATGTTTCTGGGAATATTGACTGGGAATATTGTCTGGAAACTGGGAATATTGGCTTGGAACTGGGAATATTGACTGGAAATATTGACTGAGAACTGGGAAAATTGACTGGGAACTGGGAAAACTGGTTGAGAATTGGGAATATTGGCTTGGAACTGGGAATATTGACTGGGAATATTGGCTGGAAACTGGGAATATTGGCAGGGAACTGGGAATATTGACTGGGAACTGGGAATATTGACTGGGAACTGGGAGTATTTCTGGGAACCAGGAAAATCAACTGGGAACTGGGAAAATTGGTTGAGAATTGGGAATATTGGCTTGGAACTGGGAATATTGAATGGAAATAATGACTGGGAACTGGGAATATTGACTGGGAACTGGGAATTTTTCTGGGAATATTGTCTGGAAACTGGGAATATTTCTGGGACCTGGGAATATTGGCTTGGAACTGGGAATATTGACTGGGAATACTGACTGGAACCTGGGAATATTGACTGGGAACTGGGAAAATTGACTGGGAACTGGGAATCTTGGCTTGGAAATGGGAATATTGACTGGAAACTGGGAGTATTTCTGGGAACCAGGAAAATCGACTGGGAACTGGGAATATTGGTTGGGAATTGGAAATATTGATTTAGAACTGGGAATATTGGCTGGAAGCTGGGAATACTGGCTGGGAACCTGGAATGTTGGTGGGACAAAGCAGCACCAGGCAGGGACGAGAAACGGGGACATCTCCAGCTGGTTCCATTCCCACCCGGTCATGGAAAGATGGGAACAGGCTGTGACCAATCTGGAATTCTTTAGGATGGGTTGGGAAGGACCTGGAAGCTGATCCCCTTCCAATGCACTTCCCACCATCCCAGGCTGCTCTAATTCCCAGTGTCCAGCCTGGCCTTGGGCACTTCCAGGGATCCAGGGGCAGCCACAGCCGCTCTGGAATTCCATCCCAGGGCCTCGCCACCCTCCCAGGGAAGGATTTATCCCAATTATCCCACCTAACCCAGCACATGGAATCCTGGAATGCTTTGGGTAGGGAAAAAATCAATCCCAGGGTGCTCCAAGCCCTGGCCTTGGACACCCCAGGGACTGAGCAGCCCCAGATTCCCTGGATAAGCTGTGCCAGGGCTTCCCCATCCTGCTTATTCCTACAGCATCAAGCAGGAATTTCGGGATGAAGCAGAACTTTGAGAATGCCAACAATTCCAGCCACTCCAATCGCGGCACAAGATCCAGGGATGGAGTTTGCTGACAGAAGATGAAACTCCTTGGAATGACACCGAAATCTGCTTTTCCTCCCAAAATAACTTCCCACAGCTCCGAGCTGTCACTTCTTTGGGAAAAATCCCTCTCCGCCTCAATCCGGCTCTTTCAAGCGGAATTATTCCCGCTCGGAGCCGCCGTGGCTCCGAACGCTCCGCGGCGATTTCAGCTCCGCGCTTCCACCTCGTCAGCAGAGCGGGGATTTGGGAATTCTGCCTTCCCTCCCTCCCTCCTGCCCAGCTTTCGGCTGCTGGGAGATTTCCCGGCTTTCAGCCTCAGCTTCCCTGGAATTTGGAGATAATGAGGCCCAAATTCCTTTGATCTCCTGAATTCCGGCACCCCCGGTTCTGCTGCTCCTCCTAAATCCACGTGGGGGGAATTAAACATGGAATTTTCTCACCCCAGGGTAGAGTCTGGAAGTTTTCCAGGGGGTCCAGGGAAGTTCTGCAGCTTTGAGAGAACCCCCGGAATTTTTGGGCCCGTTTTTTATGGGATTCCCCCCCTGGTATTCCAAATAAATCCCCACATTCCAAAGGGTTTCTTGTGGGGAACCTTCGGAAGATCCCATTTTCCCACAAGGAAACCAGACTTGGGAAATCTGGGAATGGTTATTTTGTGTAGATGTCAGAAACCCCCGGAAATTCCAGCTGCTCCAAGCCTGGAATTGCCATCCCAGGATCCTGGACATCCCTAAAAATCCAGGTTTGTCCCAGCTGATGGATGAGGAATCTTCACTTGAAGGCTTCCAATATCCATGAAATATCCCAGAGTTTGAGGGACTGGGGGAAAATCCTGCAGGATGCTTCTCCCAGAGGCTCAACCTTGACTGGGAATGTTGCAAAGACATCCCGGAGAATTTGCATCCATGATTTTCCTCCTCCTCCTCCTCCTCCTCCTCAGCCATCTGCTCCCCTGGAATGGCTCCTGCTCCTCAGGGAGAAGTTTTCCAAGGCTGGAAGGAGCTGGAAAAGCTGGGATGGGAGGAGGAAGAGCCCTGGGAGGGGTTGGGAAGGGAGAGACGGAGCCGCTCCAAGGCCTTTTCCAGAGGGATTGTCCCAGATTGGACACGGAGAAAAGGCAAAGGAAAAAATGAGGGGAAAAGGAGGGGAAAATGAGGAAAAAAAGGAGGAAAAAAAGAAAAAAAGGAGGAGGGAAAAAAGCAGCAGGGAAAAAGGAGTGGGGAAAAAAAAGGAGACAAAAAGAGGGAAGAAAGAACAAAAAAAAAAAGAGGAAAAAGTAGGGAAGAAAGATGAAAAAAGGAGGGAAAAGGGGGAAGAAAAGGAGGGAAGAAAATAAGGAGGAAAAAGGAGGAAAATGAAAAAAAAAGGAGGAGAAAAAGAGGAATGTGGTCATTGCACATTCCAGAGTTTTTTTTCCAGCTATGGGAAGCTCCATAAAAAATTGAAATCCTCAGGAATAAAATAAAATAACAAGGAAAAAATCCCAATGGGAGTGGCCCAGCTGGAGCTTCCCCAGGGTTGGAAGTGGAGCCATCCCAAATCCATCCCTCTGAGGCCTCTGGAGCTTCCCTTCCCCTCCGGAGCTTCGGGAATTCAGGAGAAGGGACCTGGGGGTGGCTGAGCCAATCCCTCGTGCTCTGAGTCATTCCCAGCCGGATTTAGGAGCTCTCCCACGCGTGTTCCGGGTGTCCCGGCCCACCTGGAACTGCTGACTCAGGATCACTCCCAGTCCCACGTGGCCGATTCTGGGGCATTGGGAACAGCCCTGGATTCCCTGGAAAAGTGGGGGTCCAAGGACGCTCCCACTCCGCTCTGGCCGCATCCCACGGGATGAGAATCCCATGGGATTTTCCCAACCCTTCCCACCAGCCCAACCCCAAATTCCCAGGAGTACGGATGCCGTTGTCCTCCCAGCACAGCTTCACTGCTTTGTTCCTGCAAAATCCCAAAAAAACCCAAAATTCCAAGAAACGTGAATCCCATTTTTATACCAGCACAGCTTCACTGCTTTGTTCCTGCAAATCCCAAAACTCTCCAAATTCCCAGGAACACAAATCCCATTGTCCTCGCAGCACAACTTCACTGCTTCGCTCCTGTAAATCCTAAAAAAACCCAAAATTCCAAGAAATGTGAATCCCATTGTTGTCCCAGCACAACTTTTGATGGTTTGCTCCTGCAATTCCCCAATAAAAACCCCAAATTCCCACCAAAACCTCTCCTGGCCACTCCCAAAGCTGCATCCCAGGCAGAGAAATCCCATGGGATTTTCCCACCACTTCCCACCAGCCCAACCCCAAATTCTCAGGAACACAAATCCCATTGTCCTCCCAGCACAATTGTGTTGCTTTGCTCCTGCAAATCCCCAAAAAAACCCCAAAATTCCCAGGAATACGAATCCCATTGTCCCCCCAGCACAATTTTTGATTATTTTCTCCTGCAAAATCCCCCCAAAAAACACCAAATTCCCACCAAAACCTGTCCTGACCGCTCCCAAAGCTGCATCCCAGGCAGAGAAATCCTGAGGGGTTTTCCCACCACTTCCCAACTCCGACCTTGTCTTTCCCAACATCACCATTCCCTTTCCAATTCCAGCTTTGTTCCCTCATTCCCATCTTTCCCAGCCCGTTCCCAGCTCCCTGTGGGTGCAATCCCCCAATCCCAATTAAATCCAGTTTGCACTGGGATCCCAAAATCCTGGGACCCAGAGGTTTTTCCTTCAGATCCCTCCAAGTTTCCACAGCTCCACTCCCTCTGGAAATGTTTCCATACAAAATTTGGGAATCCCAGCTCCTCCTGCTCCTTTGTTGACTTCCTTTCCCAGAATCCTTGATGCGGCACCAGCACAACTTCCAAGCTCCTGCAAAATCCCAAAAATCCCCAAATTCCCAGGAACACAAATCCTGTCATCCTCCCAGCACAATTTTTGATGCTTTGCTCCTGCAAATCCCAAATAAACCCCAAATTCCCAGGAACACAAATCCTGTTGTCATCCCAGCATCCCAACTTCACTTCTTTCCTCCTGCAAACCCCCAAAACCCCCAAATTCCCACCAAAACCTCTCCTCTCCTGCTTTTCCAGCAGTTCCTTCCTTTGGCTTGTCCGGGAACAGATCTGATGGGATCATCCCACACTGGGAAAACCAACCCGACCCCACAACAGGCCTGGAATGGGCAGGAATTCCCCCAAATCCCGCTCGCCACATTCCAGCTGCTCCCTGCATTCCCAGGAGCTTCCCACTCCCACCGCAACTCCGGCACCAGCGGATGCAGCTGCTCCCACCTTCCCAAAAAACCCTGGAATTACATAATCCCACAAAAGAGAGCATTTTTCCCAGCCTCAGTAGGGTTCCTAGAAATAAAAAAAATAAAAAGGTGGAAAATATTCCCAGTGTGAGGTGGTGATGGAAAAATCCACCCCCGGCTCCCGTTCCCGGGGGAAGAGCGGGAGGCTCCTCCTTCAGCTGGAAGGATCCCACCAGGAATTCTCACCCCTGGATTGGGAAAGGAGCAGCTCCAGAAATTCCAGGGGATCGGGGGGAGCTGCTGCTCTGCTTCCCAAGGTGAGGAACTCCTCCTGATC